TTCAACAGGGTGAGCAAGAGCAAACAAAGGAGAATAGTTTTCATGACAAAGCAAGTGGTGAAAGAGACTTAATTCCATGATTTATTTCTTTAACATAACACTGCCTACATGCACCTTGATCATCCCACAAGCAACTAATAACATTCTAGCAACTGCCGCTCCAGTTAATAGCAACAAACTCAGCATCTGAATGTAACGATTAAGACAAGCCACTTACATGTCATTATGCAACAGGTATAAAGCTAGAAGTTGGCCATAAACAAGGGGTGTTGCAATTCCTCCAGGGGCCTAAAAATCAAATACAAACACTTTGATTACATATTTCAAGAGCAGTGTCTTACAAAACACATCAGGAAGCCAAGTTAAATGAAAACTGAACACTACACAACAATCAAATTTATTTTTGCCTTCCCCACATAATAGGACTGGACAAGCTGTCAGAGTTGCTCTGTTCTATCAGTGCAGTTGTACGTTAAGAGGAAGAGTTGCACATGCCAAAAGTTTTACTTAGAACACTTTGTCTTGCTGCACAAAGTAAGGTTATATCTTGCATTACTCCGATGTTCTAGCTTGTGCTCATGGAAGTGGTAACCATCCCACTCTACAGTTTCTCACAAACAGCTGTTCTATGCACTCAATTTCATTTATCTCGAGCTGAACTTCAGTTCAATTCAGGACACTCCAGCAGAGTGAAGCTTCTTTGCTCACTAAACTGCCCTTAAAAATCCAAACTAAGATTTGACATTTGTCACACTTTAGCAGGCCTCACAAACCATACAAGTAGAAAAAAGAATTAATTACAACAAAGTTATAAATTTTTTATAGTCTAGAATTATTTAAAAGCTGAAAAGTTTTCCAATAAGGTTTTAGCAGTTTATCAAAAGACAGTGCAGCAAGCACTCACAGGAAGGCAATTATTCAGCTATTTGATTTAATTACATATCTGATTTACAGGCTCATCTAAGCTAAAAGCAGGTAATTCCAAGTGTAACGCCTTGCACCTGAGTCGGGGCAATCCTCACTTATCAGTACAGCCCGGGAGATGAGGTACTAGAGAGCAGCCCTGAGGAAAAGGACTCACAGGTAGTGGAGGACAAAAAGCTGGACATGAGCCAACAACATGCACTCACAGCCCAGAAGGCCAATCTCATCCTGGGCTGCACCAGAAGCAGCGTGGCCAGCAGGTCGAGAGAGGTGATGCTGCCCCTCTGCTCTGGTGAGACCTCACCTGGAGTACTGCGTCCAGTTCTGGAGCCCTTAACAGAGGAAGGACATGAACCTGTTGGAGCAGGTCCAGAGGAGGCAACAAAAATGATCAAAGGGCTGGAGCACTTCTACAAAGACAGGCTGAGAGAGTTGGGGCCATTCAGCCTGGAGAAAAAAAGGCTCCAGGGAGACCATATAGCAGCCTTCCAGTACCTGAAGGGGGCTACAGGAAAGCTGGGGAGGGACTATTTACAAGTGCGTGTAGCAAAAGGACAAGGGGCAATGGTTTCAAACCAGAGCAGAGTAGATTTGGATTAGGCCTTAAGAAGTTCTTCACTGAGAGGGTGGAGAAACACTGGCACAGGTTGCCCAGAGAGGTGGTGGAGGCCCCATCCCTGGAGACATTCAAGGTCCAGTGGGATGGGGCTCTGAGCAACCTGATCTAAAGATGTCTCTGCTCACTGCAGGAGGGTTGGACTAGATAGGCTTTAAAGGTCCCTTTCTGCCCAGTGCATTCAATGATTCCATGATTAGCTGTGTCACTGAGCAGATATCGCCAATATCATCATCCCCAACCATTCTTACACTGTTCTCAAGGCTCATCTTCCACCTAAAAATACAAGTTTCTGACACTGTACCCTGGATTACACCTGTTTCAACTACAGAAATTCACCTTTGGTGTGTGTCTGTACTAAAAAGGAAATTCACTAGTTTCTCCACCAGAAGACCAGTGGAACAGAAAGGAAAACCAACTACCACCAAAACCAACTAGGTTTACAATTTATGAGCTTAATAAAGAAAGCTCTGTTGCTGCATCCATCTTAAAAAAAAATAAAATAAAATTCAGCTTACATATCAACTCGTGATGTGCAACACAAAGATTGTCACAGCAGATATTAGCATGCCCACAAGAATCCTGTGGTTTTATCAAAGCATTTGGGAACTGTTTGCCAGAGGTGCACAGGATTACATTCAGTGGCTTTATAACAGCTCCTGGAGCCCCACTGAGGTCCAACACCACACACTCCACAGTAGGGAAGTTGGAAGGACATGCGAAGCTTCCTCAGATGGCCGGTGGGCTCCATCTGCAAGACTCAGAACTCAGCCTGACACAACCCTTCCACCACTCCAGAGACCAGAAAGGCAGTCAATAGTACTCACATACCCATCACTTGAGGCAGCAAGTAGCTCATATTTTCAGCACAACAACCTCCCTTCAGCTCCATAACACTCTTCTACAGAACTTGGGGAAGATACCAAGAAGCTGCAGCACCACGTTCAGAACACGAGAGGCACCCGGGGTTTTAAACAGAAACGTCAGCTACAGCTTGATGATGCACACCTGTAAGGACTGCTTTCATTCAATAATTACATTTTCCACTGCGAAGATGTCTGGTTTGTCAACACTAAAGTTCTGCTGTGGCAAATGATCACATATGGGATCAAGTCTCTCCCTTCAGCTGCTGGGCTAGCAAGCTCTAAAAATGAGAATCTCTAGGGAGCATAGGGAAGAGGAAAATTCAAAATTTTCCCTCCTTTCAAATCACTGCAGTGGGATGCATGAGCACAGATATCACCTAGGAATAGATTTTAGCATGAACACGGTAGAATCATAGAATGGCCTAAGCTGGAAGGGATCTTAGAGATCATTTAAATCCAGCCTCCCTGCCACCAGGGACACCACCTCTCGACTAGATCAGGCAACACATGGGGACTGAACGGGAATCGAACCTGCGACCTTGGCGTTGTTAGCACCCCGCTCAACTGACTGAGCTAACCAACCCCATGGTACCACTTGAATGTACCGCAAGCTGCAGTCTGATACACTACCAATGCACACAATCAGACTTGAACACTCATCACGAAACAGGCTTTAAGACAGCACAAAGGAATTTTCCAGTGTGAGCTCCCATAACACATGCACCATTGATTTCACAGTACTTCAGTACCCCACTCACCTTTCCAACACCTCCTTTTCCTTAACCACGTAAAACACATGGAAGCATACAAACTCCCTTCAAAAACATCATAACATTTATCCTAAACTGCACTCATTCGCGGGCATTCCGAGTTTCTGAAGAGTTTTTTAGGTGGGCTTTCGCCCGAGCGTCAACACCGAACCCTCAC